GTTCACCATTTTGGGGGTGGGGGCCCTTGGGAGGGAGATTTTAAGGGAGGGGCTTTCCCCTGGGGCAGAGGGTGTTTCTTGATTAACAAAGGACAGAAAAAGCACATGTTGCGAGGTAGCCTAACCACTAGCTCTAACCTAGAAAAGCACATGTTGCGAGGTAACCTAACCACTAGCTCTAACCTAGAAAAGCACATGTTGCGAGGTAGCCTAACCACTAGCTCTAACCTAGAAAAGCACATGTTGCGAGGTAACCTAACCACTAGCTCTAACCTAGGAGTTCACTAAATGCGTTTCTTGGTAATAGGGGAAAACTTGTTTCTAACGCGTGGATGGATTCATTATTGCTGACTTTACAGGAAAGACTTTACTCAAACGTTGCTGTTGTCTTAAGGCTTTTGTGACCGAGTCTGCCTAAAGGCCCACAGGTTTGCTCCTAACAGTAACCCAGTCAATTTGCTACATTTAAAAAAAAATTAAGGTATCATTGATATACAATCTTTTTTTTTATTGATATACAATCTTATGAAGGTTTCACATGAGCAACATTGTGGTTTCAACATTCACCCATATTAACAAGTATCCCCTAACACCCCATTTCAATCACTGTCCATTAGCTTAGTAAGATGCTGTAGAGTCATTACTGTCTTCCCTGTGCTATACTTAGATGCAAATATTCTTAACAATATACTAGCAAACGAAATCTCACACATTTAAAAAGGATTATATACTATGGGATTTATCCTAGGAATTTAAAGATGGCTTAACATCTAAAAAAATATGTAGTGCACCATATTAATGGAATGAAAGACAAAACCACATGATCATCTTAATAGAAATTAAAAAAACATTTGAGAAATCCAACTTCCATTCATGACAAAAATAGCAACCAGGAATAGAAGGGAATATCCTTAACCTGATAAAGGGTATCTATGAAAAAACAATGGAAACATTATGGTTAATTTTGTAAGTCTGAAAGCTTTCCCCTGAAGATTGGGAACAAGACAAAGATGCCCACTTTCACCATTTCTTTTTAACATTGTCCTAGAGGTTCTAGACAGAGCAATTAGGCAAGCAAAAAAAACCCCATCCAGATTGGGAAGGAAGAGGTAAAACTATCCATATTCACAGATGACATGCTATTCTCTAGAGATAATCCTAAAAAATCCACTAACCATTAAAACTAATAAACAAGCTCAGTTACATTGAAGGATACCAAATCAGTATACAAAATACAACTGTTTGTATACATTTGCAATGAACAATCTGATAATGAAATTAAGAGAATAATTCCATTTATAATAGCACCAAAAATACTTAGAAATATATTTTCTAAGGAGAAATACTTAGGAATGAGCAAAACTTACACTCTGAAAAGTGATAAAACATTGAAAGAAATCAAAGATCTAAAAAAATGGAAAGTCATCTCATGTTAATGACTTAAAAGACTTAATATTGTTAAGTTGGCAGTAATCCCCATATTGATCTACAGATGCAATGCCATCTCTATTGCAATCTACGTGGTTTCTTTATAGAAAGAGGCAAATGAATTTTAAACTCATGGAAATGCAAGAGACCAGAATAGTTAATCTTAAATCAGAAGAATTAAGTAGGATGACTTATACTTCCCAATATCAAAACTTACTGTGAAGCTATAATCATCAAGACATTTTGGTACTGGCATTAGGATAGACATATAGACCAATAGAACAGGAATAATGAAATAAACCCGCACATGTGTGGCAAGTTGATTTTGATAAGGATGCCAAGACTATGCAGTGGGGAAGGAATAATCCTCTCAACAAATGGGGTTGGAATAACTGGATATCCATATGATCGGTACCTCACACTATATACAAATATTAACTCAAAATGGATCATAGACCTAAATATAAAAGCTAAAACAATAAGCGTCTTTGTGACTTTAGTTTTTGCAACAATTTCTTAAGACACCAAAGACCACAATCAAACCCCCCCACCCCAAATAGATTTGGCTTTTATCAAATTAAAAAGTGTTGTGTGTCAAAGGACATTATCAAGAGAGTGAAAGATGACCGACAGAATGAGAAACAATATTTGCAAATCATATATCTGGTGAAGGTCTAGTGTCCAGATTATAAAGAACTCTTAGAACTCAATGGTAAAAAGATATCCATCCATTTGAAAAATGGGGTATGATTGGAACCAAAATTTCTCCAGAGAACATATGCAAATAGCCAATAAGCACATGAAAAGATGATGGACATATTAGCCATCAGGGAAATGAAAAGCAAAACCACAGTGAAATACTACTTTATACTCAATAGAAAGGCTGGAGGAAAGAAGACAAATGTTTGCCTAAAATGTGGATAAATTGAAACCTTTACACATTGTGGGAATGTAAAATGGTGCAGCCACTTTGGAAAACAATTTGGCACTTCCTCAAAATGTTAAATGTGGAGTTATAACTCTAGGTATACATTTAAGATAATTGAAAACATGTCCACACAAAAACTAATACATGAATGTTCATAATAGCATTTTTCATAAGAGCCAAATCACCAATATAACGGTACAGAATGTGACACATCTCTACAATGGAATATTATTCATCTATAGAAAGGAATTAAATACTGATACATGCATGCTACAGTATGAAAGAACCTTGAAAACAGCATGACAAATAAAAGAAGGCAGACATAAAAGTCCACATACTGCATAATTCCATTTATATGAAAAGTCTGGAATAGGCAAATCCCTTTCTCTAGAGACAGAAAGTAGATTAAGAGTTGTCAGAGGCTGTGGGGAGAGGAAAATGAGAAAATAACTGAAAATGGGTATATGGTTCCTTTCTGGGATGATGAAAAATTCTGGAATTAGATAGTGTCTGTGGTTTCACAGCCTTTGAATCAACTGAAAAGCCCTGAGTATTATTATTTATGATGGCAAGTTTTATGGTATGTGAATTACATATCAATTTAAAAAACAATTTGTAAACCATGGAAAATATGTCAATGAAAGGCACATGAACTGATTTTATTTTATTTCCTAATTAAAAAAGAAATTTTAAGGCAAGGCACATGTTTCACATAGCGCAGTGCCCTCTAGGTACATCTATGTTATATTCCATTCTTTTTTACTTTTAAGTTTTTAGCCTTAAATTTTTTTTGGTGAGGCAAGATATACTTATTTCACTTAGCATAATACCAACATAAACTGATTCTTAGGTACCCGTAGGTCACTTGCCACTGCTTATCCCCCTCTCTGCTGCTTGAGAGGCTGCCTGTGCACACTCTCTTTCTCTCTGTCCATCTATTTTCTTGTCCCTCTTTCAACTGTGGCCTGTTTAACAACTCTAACAGCCACCACTAAGATGGTGTGAGAGCCACTGTGAGGTAGGAATCTTGAAAATATGATTGCCCTTTGAGAGCTGAACCCTGCACCAACCCAGTGGCTTAAAGCATAGATAAGAGAAATCATCTGTAGCTGTGATACCAATCATTGTTCTCCTTATCCACAAAGATATGGGGAAACGTGGCCCAACTTCAAGGGTCTGAGATAGTAAAAAGCCTTTCCCAAACTTTCTGTAGGTTTTCTTACTTCTTTCTGGCTGCACGTCTCTCCCACTTTTGTGGTTGTTTTCATGGTTCTCCTCCTGTGTTGGAGTCCAGGAAACATCTCACTAATAAAGCTACTCTTCTGAAGATTGGGTTGTCACATCACATTGTGCACTACACAGCTTTCTGATATCCTGCTGTCCTGCCACTCCTGCCAAAGCCTGCTGACCACTGCAGGGAGCAGCTACTGCCAGTATGGGCTGTTTGATCTACCCAGTCCTTTAGTGTTTTGGCTAAATTTTTTCCATTCTATTTCATATCTTGAGGAATTGGAATGAGTCTTGCATCAGGGGAAGATATTGATATGCCTAACAATATGTTAATCCAAAGGCAGATGTTTTAATTTAGTGGTCCTTGTTTAGTTAAGGCTCAAACTGCAAATAGTACAAACCAAGTTGAGCCAGTTTAGGCAAAACAAAGGAAATTTGGTACAGGGCTCTGAGGATGTATTTGTGAGGACTCTTTGGTTACAAGTGACTAATCTAACTCAAAGTAGTTAAAATGAAAAGGGAGTATTTTCACTCACATACCTGGGAATTTAGTATAACTTGATCCAGGACACGATTCTGCTTCTCAGCTTTGCTTGGCTTTATTCTGCATGTAAAGACTTGGTGTGTGGTAGGCAAGATAGTGTCTGTGGTTCTAAACTCACACTTTAGTTTAGCAACAAACTTCTTACTCCCATCGACCTTAGTTCATACTCCAAGGAGGCTCTGATTGATCCTGGAAGCTTTTCTCTCAATGTTTTTCTCTTTTTTTTTTGGGTGAGGATTTAATAATATGGGTGCCTGTTGAACCACTGTGTTGTGTACATTGATACCAATATCATAGTGTATATCAATTAAAAATAGCTAATGTTCATTGAGAATGTATTGTGTTCCTTGCACTATTCGAAATTCTTTACATATATAACTTCATTTAATTCTCACCCCAGCTACATAAAGAAGGTGCTATTAGTATCTCTAAGACTTAGAGAGTTCAATAACTTTGTGTTCACATAGTTCATATGTGGTGTGCTCAGAAAAAGTCCAGGTATTGTCCTGGACCATGAGTCCATGCTTTTGTCGACTGTGCTTTACTACCTTTGTTAATACCTGTAGCTACCCCTTATTTGCAAATGAATTTACTATTTTGGTGAGTTTCCTCCTTACAAACCTACCTTCTTACATAGGAGGCAAAATTCATTTTTTCTGCTGCCCTTGCAGTTAGGTCCAGGCATGGGACCAAGACTCAGCCAGTCAATTGAACTTGTGCAAGATTTACATTCTGAAGAGAATGGTATGAGGAAGCAAACAACATGTTGTCCATTTTCTGGGAAAAGTGGCAGCAAAAGTGTACCAGTTTCAGAGGCAACACTGGTGAAAGTTCAGATATATAGTATTCAGTGAAGCAAGTTGTAAGTGGGGCAAATTGTGGTGTCTGGCCAATGCCTGTTATGGTTTGTGTGATGTTTAGCATGATAACTCTTTGCCTCTGTGAGAGCTTCAGTAGGCTACCTAATATCCCTTAATGAATTCCTTTTCTGCTTAAACTAGCTAGAGAGATTTTGGTTGCCTATAATTAAGAATCTAAGTTGATTAAAATGGTAAAAGTGTTTTTCAAAGAAGAGCTGTTATGAACTTCATTTAGGATGCTTTTAAACTCTAACAGAATACCCAACTCAATTATGTTTCAAAACAAAGAAATGTATTTGCTCATTTAACAGCAACTTCCAGCTTCAGGCCTGATTGACCTAGCAGTGCAACGAGACCCTCATTATCCCAGGTTCTTTGTTCATTTCCTCCTTGCAGTCCTCAGAGCAGGTTCATTCAGAGGCTATTTCCCCTGTGGCTGGAGGATGGTTCCTGTCTGGTCTTCGTGCTTCCTTGTTCAGATCGAGCCTGAGAGTCACTCAGATGTCTCTCTCAGAATAACAGGAAGACTTTTCTGAAAGGCTCAAATAAACTTCTTTTCCTGTTTAATGAAAAGGGAGATGAAAGAACCTTAAAATACTGAGGCCTACCCTGGGACTGTAGTCAGTTCTTCAAACTCCATTGCTACTACTCAGAAAGGGGTTGAATAGAGTCAACCACAGTATCTGCAACCCCAAGAGATGAATACCCCCAAAGTCATCTATTTATAAACTGCTACTTGGTTGACTTTGAAAACTGGTTTTATAACAACCTGTTGAGGTAGGTATCATTGATCTCAACTTTAAAGATGTTGATACTATGATTCCAAGAAGTAAAGTGACTTGCCCAAGTTTCACAATAAGAAATGACCAAACTAGGACTCAAACCTATGTCTTCTGATTTCAAGGACTTGTCTATTTCCCAATAAATCCCCGCTGTTCTGAAGATAACAAGAAGAGAATAGCTATTTGAAACAATTTCCAGATATCATGGCTATATAGAAATGTCTGAGAAAATATATCAGTTGAACTCTTCTTGAAAGTCTATAATATTCATTTTTAAAAATTTATTAGATAAAGAGCACACTGAAGAAGGCCAAGTTCTCTATCCACCTCTTCTGCCTAGCAAAGTAGATCTCCGGCAGGTCTCCATAATTCCATATAATGAGTGGGAAAGGATTCAAGATAGTCTTGACAGCTTGACAGCAGAAGCAGCATGCCTTCGTGCAGAAAAAAAGGCAAAGAAAGAAATGCATGTCCGATCCCAAGACATGGTAAAGCATTGGACTAATACATATGCAGTAAGTACTAACACCCCAGGAGTGCACATGTACTAAAAACTTACTCTTAAGAGATTGAATCCAAAAGGGGCAAATTGGAAAATAAGTTATTCACAGGAATGGAAGCACAACATAGAGATTGTGACCAATAATATTGTAATATCTTGGTATGGTAATGGGTAATTACATCATGGCAAGCATCTTGTAAATATATATAACTATCAAGTCACTATGTTGTACATCTAAAACCAATATATATATATTAACTTTAGTCCAATGGAAACAGACTTTTGTTTCTAAGTACTCTTATAAATATTTTTTACATGTGAAATATGACAAAAATGCTTTGAAACACAGTTTCAACAGCTTTATTTAGGTAGAAGTGACATAGGAACAGTCAGATTTTAAAGTGTGTAATTTGATAACTTTTGGCATATTTTTACATTTGACATAATTTTACATTCCAACCAGAAGTGTATGAGAGTTCTGTTTCCTCTATCTCCCAACTTGCTATGCTATAGACATCCAGATAGCCATGAGACATTCATTATAGTTTTCATTTGAGTTTCTCTAACTACAATGATGTTGAATGTCTCTCTGTGAACTTGTTTTCTATCCAAGATCACAAGGATTTTTAAATTTAAATATTATGTCTATGGTCTATTTTAGTTGATTTTTTATATGAAGCAAGGTATAGATTGTTTTTTGTTTTTTGTTTTTTTGCCTATGGACATCCAATTGTTTCAGCACAACTTATTGAAAAGATTTGAAACCTTTATTGAAGATCCAGTTGTCCACATATGTGCAGGGGGAATTTCTGGAATACCCATTCTGTTCCACTGATCTATTCATCTGTCTTTATTCCAATAATACACTCTCTTGAGAACTGTAGGTTAAAGTTTTGAAATCAAGTAGTATTAGTATAGAATACACAAAAATGAATTTTGCCTCGATTAAAGTCATACATATGAAAAATAAAACAGTAAGACTTTTAAAATAAATCATAGGATCTTCAGGATTTGTATGTCCTGAGACATAGAAAGTATGATCCATGAAGGAGAAGACTTCATCTGACAGGAGACATTGGAGAGACTCCTCAGAGGTGTAGAAGAGGATGTAAAATCCGCTACTGTTGATTTTTTAAAAGGAAGAAAAGTAGTAATATATTGTAATTTATTTTGTAAATAAGGAAGGAACTTTGGAAGTGAACACAAGAAACTATAGAAGTTAGGACTGGAGGGAGAGCTTCACTGAATACATTTATGTATTTTGAGGTTTCAAACCATCTAAGTGTGTTACCTATTTAAAAAATTCAATTAAAAAATTAGCTCATAAGTGTAACCTTTTTGTTCATTAATGATATATGCAAGTACAATACTCATAATGAAAACTCAAATTATCACATTCTATGTAATGTTAAATGTTGAAAAACTAAATTGAAAAATGAAAACAGCTTTTGTCTTTTTGCAGGGTATGAAAAAACAGAAACTTGAAGCCAAAAAGAAGCGTGATGAGGAAAAAGAGGCAGAAAGACAAATTCTTGATGTGGAAGAAGCAATACACAAACAAAGAGAAAGGAAAAAGGCCATTGAATATGCAAAACAATACCAATTCTACCAGACAGAAAGAGTGAAAAACTTTCATGTACTACTTGTTTTCTTTCTTGTATGTTTATATATATGTAGTATTTCTATAGAAAATTGGACTTTATTTTCTTAAAATACTGTAATTTTTTGTTTTTGTAGTCAGGACTTCTTGTTAGTAGAGTTATAAAAGAACGTGATGCACAGACTGAGTTCCAAAAGAATGAAATAAAATCAGATAAAAGATGGGAGGAACAGTTGAAATTCAACATTAAAAAAGCTTTTAAAGAAGAACAAGAAAAAGCAGAAAAACGACGCAGAGACAGAGTGGCTCTTGCCAACGATCATTTAAGACAGTATGTATGCATAAATTACTCCTTACGTTACCTTCTTTTTCTCATAATGCATATAGATTTTCTTTTCTGATTATAAAAGTAAAAATGCTGAAATACCTGGTAAGTAGACAGAAGAAAGATTTTAAAAATCACTCCTTACCCAGAGATAATATATTGGTTACTACTGTCAGCAATGATGCTGCGTAACAACCAACCACACAATTTAGTGGCATTTGATGATAAACACTTATTTCTCATGTGTCTGTGGGTTGATTGGATAGGTTTTATCAAACTGCAGGACTGGTAGGGTTTGCTTGTTGCTGTGTGGCAGGCTTTACACACAGCTTTACAGCTTTACATCTGCCCCATATGTATTCATTCTGAGGTCCAGGATGAAAGGATAGCAGCCACCTGGGGGAAACTTTTCTCATGGTATTGAGAGAGATGTAAGAGAATGAGCCTAAGCTTGCAAGAACATGGCTACATCCAAAGTCAAAGGTCAAGGAAATACACCCGGCCTCCTATGAGTCTAAAGCAAGCTATACGGTCAAACCTATCAACAGTGGAACAGAAAAATAGACTCCCATGGAAGTGGGGACTAGGAGAGGAATTTTTCTGTCAATTATCTAATCTACTACAATACTCTGTTATTGTTTTGGTATATAGCCATACAGACATTTTTTAATGGTGTTTGTGAAGGGGGTTGGATTCATTGAGCTATAATTTGCATTTTCTAATAAAATTCATCTTTTAAAAAACATACAGATGTATAACCACCCCAAAATAAAGATATAAACACTTTTATTACCCCCAGAATGTTCCTTCATGCCTCTTTACACTAAGTTTTATCCCCCACCCTCAGTCCCTGGCAATCATTGATCCACTGTCACAGACTTATTTTTCTGAGCATGTAAACTCTCATTTTATAAAATGAAATCTGATTGCTATGGAAAATATTGCTACAGAAAATACTGGAAAACTTGGCCTGGATTACTGATGGAATAACTAAGCGGCACTCGGAGGTCTTGGAGTGTTGAGGGTTCATTTCACACCAGCAGGCTCAGAGGGGAGTAATCTCCTAAAGTCTGAGCCTTGAGCACAAGCAAGGGAACAATTTATATTATTTTGATATGTGGCATCCCAGCATGCCCAGAGCAAAAGAGGAGCCCGGAGGAGGGGAGGAGAGAGCTGGGAGGGCTTTGCCAACTGGAGGAAAAAAGTGGTTTGCTGACCTTGATGGCTGTGTTGAATATCTTCCTTATCACTCCCCCCTCTGATGCCCCTTGAAACACTTCGTTTTAGGGGCATCACATTTTTTGGTTTATGATAGGGTTATAATGGTTTGTAGTTATACTTTTAATTGCTTTGAGCTAGGACTGTTTTCCTTGTGACTTTTTCATTAAAGACTTGAGTACTTTGTGAAGACCACAAATGGTTATGTTTTTCTGCGTTTGTATGAACTTTGTGTGTACAGGTTGAAATGAGTCCTTCAGACCTTTGATAAGCCTGTGTTTAACAAAAAATTCTCAGTTTTTTTCAGTCCTAATTTATTTTTATGCAGCTGAGCATTACACTAAGGTTGGCTTATTCGAGTGGGAGAGGACATGTGCTGAAGGTGTAGGGCCACTGAGGGCAGCTCCCTTGGGTGATGACCACGCACTTTATAACTTTTGTACAGTTAAACATTATAGAGAGGTACTTTGGAAGTGCAGGCTGAGACTTGAGTTCAGCTGGGAGAGACAGGTAAGCACAGCTAAATAACAATGATTACCCAATAGATAACAGAAAGGGCAACTTTTTGAGGAACAGTTTAGTCAGAGGGGCAGCAGCAGAGAATTTAATGCTCAGGATGAGAGATTTTATTCTGGCAAGGGCCAGGATCCACGGTGTGCAGGTGTTCATTAGTCAGAGGGTAATTGTCAGATGTGGAGGTGGAGAGGATCTGGAGGTCTGGCTGGGCTTTTTACTAATGTATCTTTGTCTGGTCTAAAGTACGGGCTCTTCCACTCTGGAATGATGGACCAATGGAGTGATGCCTGGAACTTTGAACGCAGTAGGAGTGGGGCCCAGTCCACTGAGGTTTGAGGGATTACCTTTTAAATTTTTTGATTCAGACTGAGTCCCCAGCTTGGAAGAAATGTACTGGGGTCCCTAATCGGAGATCAGGGCTCTTTCTATGGTATGTTGCTGCAGCTTATTTGGGGCGGCTCTTAAAGCTTAGAGCTGTTCTCTTACTCTCTTATTTTCTATCTGGTGTAGGTTCCCTGGGAGGCTTCCTAGACACGGGGGAGGGTGTCTATACACTAATTCAAAAGGGGAAAAACCTGAGTCCTAGGTGTGCAGCAAGCATGCAGAAGAGCCAGGGCCAGTAGGTCTGGTCATGGGAGGCCAGTTTCTTGGCAAAACTTAGGGTTCTTTTTAGTGTGTGATTTATTCACTCCACTTCCCTTAACTTTGTGGCCTGTATCCAGTGTGGAGTTTCCAGGTAATATTGAGAGATTTAGTTCAAATCTGTACTGTATCTGCTACAAAGGCAGGTTAGTATTGCTTTTTGAGGATGGCTTCTAGTGCAGTTTTTCTTAGGTGGGTGAGCTGATGGTATTTGTTGATTAGATGCTTTCCTGTTGTAGTTGGGACAAAGATGTGTCTGTCAGGCAGCAACTGTCATTTTTTTTTTTTTTTTTAGTTAGGATGGCTCTTTCAGCCATGGCCCAGTCTTTCTCTTTTTCAGTGTACTTGGGTGGAGGGGCCTCCACTGGGGGCGTTAGGGCCATGGTAAGGGAAGGAGCTTTATCTGTTTTTTTTTATTGGCTGTTGTTTTAGTTGCTTTATCTGCTAGTTGGTTCCCCTGTGTTGTTATAGGGTTGTTTTCCTTTTGGTGCTCTGTGCAATGCAGAATTGCTACTTTTTCTGGGAGCCAGAAAGCCTTGAGGAGTTTTAGTATTATACCAGCTGAGAGTTGGAGAGGAATCAGTGTCCCTGTGTGTTTCAGAGGGACACAACAGTATGGGGGACCTTGACATTAATTTTTTTGTCCCAAAGTTTATCTGCTTTTTTTAATGAATGGAACTGTGGCTGCCAGTGTCCTGAGGTAGGGTGGCCATCCTGCCTCGGTTGGGTTTAGTTTTTTTCTTTTTTGACAGGTATGGAACTGGCTGCTGCCAGGGCCTAACAGTTATGTGAGAACTTAAAGGACTATTTTTTTCATGTATGAAGAGACTGAAGGGTTTTTTTGTATCTGGCAGACCTAGGACTGGTGCCTGTTTTGAAGCAGCCTTTATTTCCAGGGGAGTAGCTTTTGCCTTTTTTGTCTAGACAAAGGGTTCTTGGTATGGCCCCCTCAGGAGGCTGCAGAGGGGTTTTTCCATTGCTGAGAATCTGGGAATCTAGATTTTGCAGAAACTGGTGGCCCCCAGGAACTTTTATGTGAATTTCTTCATCTGGAGCTGGGCTAAGGAGATGATGACTTTTTTCTTCTTTGGCCCTAGTGCCCTTTTTCCCTGGGTGAGGAGGAAGCCCAAGTACTGGACTTGCTGCTGGCAGATCTGTGACCTTTTTTTATGAGTCTTGGTATCCTGAGTCTCACAGGAGTTGCAGGAGGGCCTTTGTGCTTTTTGCACAACTTTTCTGAGTGTCACTGGCAAGGAGGAGGTCATCTACCTATTGCAGGAGGGTGCAGCATGTGGCTTCCCTCAGAAAGCTGGGAAGGTCTGTGGCCAATGCCTCTCCAAAGAGAGTGCGTGAGTTCTTGAAACTTTGCGCAAGCCGCGTCCATGTTAGCTGCATCTGCTGCCGTATCTGGTTCAGTCCATTTGAAGGCAAATGAGCTGGCTTTGGGGAGCCAGCCGGAGGCAGAGAAAGGCACCTTTTAAGTCTAGGCAAGGGAACTATTTGGCAGACCCCAGAATCTGGCTGAGGAGGGTATACAGATTTGGGACCACTGGGTGTAAAGAAACAGTCACCTGGTTAATGGCTCGCAGGTCTTGAACAGCCTGGTGCCTTGCTCCTGGCTTTTTGACTGGTAGAAGCTGGGTGTTCCAGGGGGACTGACACTCAGTTAGAATGCCTGCGTCTCTGAGTCTGATCAGATGTTCCTGGATGCCTGCTCTTGACACTTGTGAGAGGGGATACTGCCACTGTCTTTGTGGCTGGGCCCCCGGAGTCAATCCTACAATGGCAGGGGCTCGGTTATGCGCAAGTCCAGGTGGGTTGTCTTCAGCCCATACTGAGAGGAAGGCAGCTCTGAATTCAGGTGGGCTACTTGAGAGGGTCTGGGCACAGAACAGCCTCCACTCCTCTTCCCTGGGTGTGGCTATTGCCAGGTCGAGGGACCCTGGCTCTTCTTGGCCTGCATTTAGTTTGAGGCTGGTTCATCCAGTTGGTTCAAAAGTTATTTGGTCTCTGAGCTGTGAGAGTATATCTTAGCTGAAGAAGGGAACAGGGCACTCGGGTAGGTAGAGAAACTTATATCAGTCTTTGGGGCTTCCAAGTCCACATTAACAGTCTTGGCAAAAGTGTTGCTGGACTGCCTGTGTCTCTGTGGCTCTGAGAATAGTTGCAGTCTTTTTACTGAAGGGAGTTACAGGGAGGGTGACCACAGAGTGTTCTGCCCCTGTGTCAACCATAAAAGTCATCTGTTGTCCCCCCACTTTCATCCTGACAGTGGGCTCATGGGGGCTGAGAGCAAGAGAGCCCAGTCCCTGTCAGGCTGAGTCTGCTCCTGCCAGGCCAGTGAGCCTGTCCCCGTGGGGCTCCTCCCGGCAGCGACTGGGCCTCAGGGCTTTGCCTCCATTGGGCATTCATTCTTCCAGTGCTCCTTCTCCTCACAGTAAGCACACTGGTCCCTGGCTAGGGGCATCCTAGGTCTCCCCCCTCTTGGTGGCCGGCTTTTCTCTGCCTTTTGGTCATCTCTCTTTCTTTTAGGGCAGCTGCCAGGAGGCTGGCCTTTTCTTCATTTTTCTTTCAGCCTCTCTGTCAGTCTGAACTTCTCTGTTTAGATATACTTTGTTGGCAATTTTAATCAGTTGAATGATATTTATCCCGGCAAAGCCTTCTAGTTTTTGGAGCTTTTGTCTGATGTCTGGGGTGGCTTGAGCTATGAATGAGGTGTTTACCATCTGTTGGCTCCCTGGTGACTCAGAATTGAAGGGGGTGTAGATGCGATCAGCTTCTCACAGTCTCTCATAATAGTCCCTGGGAGACTCTCCTAGTTGTTGAGTGACTGAAGATAGTTTGGTCATGTTCATAACCAACTATGTTCATGTTGAGTTCATGAAGATAGTTTGTACCCAGCTTTGATCCCCTGGAGGAGGGCATCCTGGTATTGATCGATCTGGTGCTGTCCCTCAGGGGTGGTAAAGTCTCACTCAGTGTGCTCCTCGGGGACAGCAATATCAGCCCATGCACCCCAGTCAAGGACCCCAGCTGCCTCCTCTCTTCTGTTGTGAACAGGGTGTAGAGAAGCTATTGGCAGTCTTTCCAGGTCGACCAATGGGTTTGGAATAGGGATTTCATGAGATCAACCAGGGCTTGTTGCTTTTCTGACAGGGTGTTGTGTTTTTAATTGAGGATGTTAGTAGTGGAGAAGGCTTGATAGTAAAACATGAACCAGCCAGGCTGGATGGTTCAGTCTTTATTATGCCTCTCAGGCTCCCATGTCTCTCACACCAGCATCTAGAGGGTGCCTACTCCTGGCCAAGGGCACAGTCTGGCTGCTGGTCCAGGGGAGAGTGGGTCCACTTGTTCTGGAGTTGGCGGGGAGGCTCACAGCAGCAAGGTGTCTGGGACCAGGTGGCTGGGTGCTGCCGACCTTGGGGGCGCATATGGTAGGGCCAATATTGGCTCTTCCTCTGGGTCATCAGCAAGAATTTGCAGAGGCTTAGGCTTCTGTTGATTCTTTGCAGGCTTCTTTGTTGAGGCAACTAAGACCCTACCCTGTCCCTGCCTGTTGCAAGTGAATCTCACCCAAGGGGGAAGGGTCTGGGCAACTCCTAACCAGGAGTTAAAGTATGGGAACTGATTAGGATGACCTGTATCTCTAGGGATGACCCACCAGGCTCAGCAGATTGTTGGGACATCTAGGGTTCTTTCTGGAGGCCACCCTACACCAAAGGTGGGCAATACAGATTTACACAGGGTTTTCAACATGCCAGGAGTTAATTTTACTTTGTAGTTTTCTGAAAATCCCTTCTGAAATTTTTGATCATAGTGTCAAGGACTGTGGGTTTACTGTGCCCTGACCCCATGATGTGTCCATGGATGGTGCTGCGACAACAGGCAAGGGAAGTGTGCCTCCTCTAGAGAGGAGACCAGTCAGATGCCTGTCCATTCACGCTTCTCTCAGACTTTGGTCAGCCTTGACTAAGGTGCACCCGTATAAGTCCCGGGCCAGGTCAGCCCAAGCTGAGTCACTGTTATGTCATGGCAGCTGACCATGAATGCAGATGAGGGCCCACTCAGAGTGCAGGCCATGGAATCACAGATTCAGTGCAGACTGAATGGCTTCAGCCACTCTGCACACTCACTCACAGACACTCAGACCACAGTTTAAACATTCCCTCCATGGGAATGTCTACCTGTGAGACTTCTAAGAAGTCTTCAGGAGGTGATCAGGCTCCCCTTCCACCTCAACGGGTGTGCCTGGCTGGGTCAGGGGCCCTGGGGCATTACCGGATTCAACGTCGGAACCAGGTCCTCACCTGCCAAGCCTCCTTGAGTCCGGTAGGAATGGCAGAGGGGGGCTGGCCCAGGGCGATCAGGTGGGAGACTGCAGAAAGGTCAGGCAGGGCGCATCTTCTCTGTTGCTATCTCCTGTTCCATCACCGCCAGCCATTGCCCAAAACCGGTGGCAACAATGGGCCAACAGGGTTGGGTTTCCCAGTAAGGGAACCAAATGTTACAGAAAATATTGTTACAGAAAATACTGGAAAACCTGGACTGGATCACTGACAGAAGAACTAAGCGGCACTCGGAGGTCTTGGAGTGTTGAGGTTTTATTTCACACCAGCGGGCTCAGAGGGGAGTAATCTCCCAAGGTCTGAGCCCTGAACACAAGCAAGGGGAGGAATTTATATTATTTTGATATGTGGCATTTCGGCATGTGCAGGGCAAAAGAGGAGCCTGGAGGAGGGGAGGAGGGAGCTGGGAGGGCTTTGCCAACTGGAGGAAATAAGTGGTTTGCTGACCTTGATTGGCTGTATTGAATATCTTCCTTATCAGGATCAACAATATGATTTTTTGTTTTTCACTTATCGGTATGTCATGAGCTCTTGCCATGTCAGTAAGTAGAAATCAAACTTTTTTTTTCTTTAAAAAGCAGCTACTACATTTATTCGGGTGGGGTTGTATTTGTGTGTAATTTTATTTTATTTTATTTTATTTTATTTTTTTTTTGAGAGGGCATCTCTCATATTTATTGATCAAATGGTTGTTAACAACAATAAAATTCAGTATAGGGGGGTCAATGCTCAATGTACAATCATTAATCCATCTCAAGCCTAATTCTCGTCAGTCTCCAATCTTCTGAAGCATAAC